CACCAGGGAGGCACTGCCTGTGAGTTAGCAACACAGCACCCTATGGACTGCGTCACCAGTGCTCCCTAGATAATTAATGGTGTCTTCTAACTCCCTTTCTCTTGCAGTTACTCTTTATTATTTAACTTGTACGTTAATATTTCAAACCATTATATAGCATTCAAATATAACATACACATTGAAAATTATGTGTAAGCATGAACCTGTCCATCATGTGAAGGAGCCCTGGTGGCATTTTAGATTCAGTACTGAGCTATTAACCAAAAGGCACAAATCCACCAGCTCCTCCTATGGAAAAAGATGGATGGTTTCCATAAAGAATACCTTGAACTTTACCAGAGTGGAAACACAGTCACCCACTTCATCATTCAGCATTTTAGTAAGCCTCTCCCTGTGAGAGCACCTCTTTAGGAAGCTCATAGTTCAGTGGGTAACTCAGTAGTATATGGTGTGACAGTGGACTTACATTCAAAGTATAAATATTCCAGCTGGCCTGGAATTGACGCTTATAACAAGGAGGTCAGAATGCTTTTCTTAAAAAATGGCATACTGAAATGGAAACACTTTTGGCATTCAGTCAACTCCAAGTCATATCAACCCTGTAGGACAGTAAATTGTCCCATAGGGTCTTAGGTGCTAATCTGTACAGAAACAGGCTGCTACCCACACCTTTGACCCTCAGAGCATCTAGTGGGTTTGTCCCTAGCACTCACTCACTATCGCTTGTATGAAATACCTGTTCTAGATTGTTGTTGTTGTTGTTATGTGCCGTCGAGTCATTTGCAACTCATAGCGACCCTGTGCACAACAGCCCTAAACCCTGCTCTATCCTGCGCCAACCACACTGCCTTTGACACACCCATCCCGATTACCCCAGTCACCGAATCAGTCCACCTCATAGAGGGTCTTCCCCTCCTGCGCTGTCCCTCCACCCTCCCAAGCATGATGTCCCTCTCCAAGGACCCGTCCCTCCTGGTAACATGTCCAAAGTATGTCAGACGAAGCCCCAGAATCCTTGCCTCCAAGGAGTAGCTTGGTTTAATCCTCTCCAAGATGAATCTGTTTGTTTTCCTGGCATTCCATGGTACATTCAGTGCTCTTCTCCAGCACCACAGCTCAAAGGCATCAACTCTCCTTCTGTCTTCCCTAGTCATTGTTCAACTCTCTGATGCATAACAAGCGATTGCAAAGACCATGGCCTGTATCAGGCGCACCTTAGTCTCCAGAGAGACACCGTTGCTCCTGAGTACTTTAGAGAGGTCCCTAACAGCAGACTTTCCCATCGCGATACGCTTTTTGATTTCCTGACTGCTGGTGCCAAGAGTGTTGACTGTGGAGCCGAGCAAACTAAAGCTGTGAACAATCTCAATCTCTTCGCCATCCATCCTGACGCTGCCAGTTGGTCCAGTGGTGAGAATCTTTGTCTTCTTGACATTGAGCCTCAGTCCATACTGAAGGCTGCAGTCCTTGACCCTTCGCAGCAAGTGCCGGAGGTCCTCCTCAGTTTCAGCAAGCAGGGTTGTGTCATCTGCATAACACAGATTGTTAATAGATCTTCCACCAATCCTGATGCCACAATTCTCCTCATAGAGCCCATCATTGGGTTATTTTGAAGCAAAAAGAACTGAGTTCATTCTCCATTTATTTAGCCACATAGTTATAAACTATATGGCTTTGGGCACCTGATAAAATTTGTCTGAATTTTAGGTAGTTTAATAGCTAACAGTCATATAGTACTTCTCCCACTCTAATCCTGTTTTAAGCAACATAAATACTTTATATCAAGGATCTCTGGTGGCATATAGTGTGTTACTTGTTGAGCAGCTAATGAAAGCTGAGTGGTTCCAGTTCACCAGCCATTTTGGAAGATGTGGCAGTCGGCTTCCATAAAAGTGTACAGCCTCAAAAACTCTGCCGTGCAGTTCTGCTGTGTTCTTGAGAGTCTTTGTGAGTCACAGTTGAATTGACAGCTGTGGATTTGGGTTCATTATTCTACCCTTTGAACAAGATAGCATTTATTTTTCCAGTTTGACATATTAGAAGGGAAAAGGCAGAGAAAAACTGAGTTAGGTCATAAAACCAGTGATACCAAAGTATTTGAGCCCCTACGGCATGCTTCCAGTGTTGGTATGTTGTATTTACTCTGCAGGACAAGGAGCTGCCCCTGGGGATTTCCAAAGCTGCACTTTTTGACTGGGAGGCCTGTGCTCCTGACTTTAGGGAGGGCACTGCCTCAGTCCTGTAGTCAGCACTCTCATTGCGGGTGTTGGTAATCTTCCTGTGACAGTGTTTCACTTAATGTTTGTTTCCTGGTAAAATAGAGGTGTCTGTGGGTGGATGATGCACTTGCCATTTGCTATTTTAAATGGTAACATACTATTTTTCCTCATGAAAAGATTTTTTGTGATTAAGAAAAATAAAATACTCAACTCAAAGTTATTTACAGATTCAGAAAAGAGCGAAAATGTAATAGTCTTCAGATAAATGCTTTCTTAGTCATTATGTGGGAGGCGAGCATTGCAGCATATTTTCTTGAGGAAAAGATTTAGAATGAGCACTAACACAAAGAAAAGCAAAGATGTGTGGCATCCCCCCTCCTCCAATTGAGTAGGGAACAGCCTGTAGAAATTCTGTATTGAAGTCCTGTACCTTCTCCGTAATGTTTTTCTGTTAATGTAAGGTACTCGCATACTTTATACTCTAACCTTGCATACTGGTCTGAGTTCTAGAATATTCTGAGACACAAACAGATTTGTACACCAGTGTTCATAGCAGTGTTATTTACCATCACAAGAACAAGGGAACAGTCCAAACATCCTACCACAAGTGAATGGATTGAAAAATTATGGTGCAGTTATATAATAGAATACTATGCAGCATCAGGAGCAATTATTTTGAAAATTACTACGTAACTTGGGAGAGACTGCAGAGTATTAAGCTGAGCGAACTCAGTCTCATAAATACTGCACAAGACCTTTATTGTAGAAATAGAAGGATAACTAGTAAAACAAATGAATATCCATGGTGGGGAAGGTGGGAGCAGAGAGGTGAGGATAGGCAGGGGGAAATCATAGAGTCACACAATTTAGTGGGTGGAGGGAGGGGGTGGGTAAAGGAAATGGCAAAGATCTGGGGGGATCTGGAAAGTCAGGGTAATTAATGGTGGACAGTTCAGTGGTGATTAATTTTGTAAAATGTAATGAATGGGAATGATTGTATCAAACACAAAGGATAGTGTGAAACACAAATGTATATCAACTTTGTAAATAAACCAGTATAAAATTGGAAAAATAATAAACCTCACAACTGTGAGTAAAGTCAAGCCTGAGCCGTTTGCAATGAACATCAGACAGGATGATTAGTAGATCTAGGTACAGAAATATGAGGCGGCATATCTCACCTTGTGGCTATCATTTTTGTCCTATGGATGTTACTGATGGGACCAGTTCCCCTTTGTAGGATTACTTGTGCTTGACTCAGCATTTCTGTATTATCCTTGCTTTTTTTACAATGACTCTTTATGTTCTTTCCACTCTTTTGATACTTTGTGCATCATTCAGTATACCACTAGTATTTCACATACAAACCAGGTCACCCATGGTGGATAGATTTCAGCAGAGCCTTGATAGTACAGTGATTAAAGTGCTCAATTGCTAACCAAAAGGTTTTGCAGTTCAAACCTACCAGCTGCTCTGCAGGAGAAAGATAAATTGGCTTCTTCTATAAAGACAATAACCTGGGTAACTCAATAGGACTGTTCTGATCTGCCCTACAGGGTCACTATTAGAATTAGCTCAATTGGCAAAAGGTGTCGAATATAAAGAATTCTCATAGATACTCTTTTGTATCTATATACTATAAATATATTATGGAGCTCTGGTGGCCTGGTGGTAAGAAGCTATGCTGCAATCCCAAAGGCATAAGGTTTTAATCCACCAGCTGCTCCACTGGAGAAGAGTGGGCAGTTTCCTTCTGTGTGATATATTTACTCTCAAAACCTGCTGGAGGGTGAGCTGTGAGTCAGTTCTGACTCAACGCACATAACAACAATGATTTGTTTAGTACCTCTATAATCTTTTTTTTTTGTAGAGAGAATATTTGAATTATACATATTAGAAGTAATTTTTTCTCAGATATAGTGTAGAGCACAGGTCATTTTTGTTAACTAGTATTTAGTTACTTAAAAGAACGTATTTCAAAGACCCAGTCTTTGATATCATGCTACAAATGCATCCAGCCATCCAGAAACAGAGCCATGACTAGAATGATAAATGCAGATGTAGTACATAATGCACAGCAAATTGCATTATTAGTATACTGTTTAGATTCAAACCACCACTGAGCAGTGCAGTATTTGGAGCTTGCAATCAGATAATATATTGATGTCTTAATGTCCTATGCTGTTGGCTCTCTGATTGTCATCTTTGGTTAAGTCTTTTCATATCTTCTGCCCATTTTATAGTTGGGCTGTTTGTCTTTTTCTTGTTAAGGGAGGTGTGCTGCCAGTTTAAGGCAGGGGTTTGAATAACCTCCCATGCAGTTTATGCTCTCTGTAAAACCACTGCGGGGGTCAACTATGAGTCGGCTCCGACTCAACACATAACAGTTTATCACAGAAGCTCTGATCTCTGATAATGAACTTTATCACTTGTTGCTCTGGTAGTCAAAAGGTCAGTGGTGTGAGTTCACCAACTACTCCTCAGGAAAAAGATGGCCAGTCTCCTCCTGGAGGCTTGCTGTGAGTCAGAATATGCTTGATGGCAGTGGGTTTTGGTCAGAAATTTACTATCTGATCTAAATTTTCATTTTCTTCTATGAAGGAAACTAATAGTAACACTCTCGGGGTATCTTGATTCATATTAATTAACTTTTTGGTTGGTTTGTTTATCTAGAAAACGTGGACCAGGATCTTGGGCAAATCCATCACCGCCTAGTAAGGAAACAAAGCCTTATATGCTTGTTTCCCGTGTGAGGAAGCAGGCATCATCAGCTGGTCCAGAATGGGGACAACAAGCGATGAGCTGGTTTCTGTGGAGCAGCCCTCCTCCTTAAACCCGCTGTGTTTTGAGTGCGGCCAGCAGCACTGGACAAAAGAGAACCACTTATACAACTACCAGAATGAAGTGGATGATGATCTCGTCTGCCACATCTGCCTTCAGCCTCTACTGCAGCCCCTGGATACACCCTGTGGTCACACCTTCTGCTACAAGTGCCTCAGAAACTTTTTACAGGAGAAGGACTTTTGTCCCCTAGACCGCACAAGACTTCACTTTAAGCTGTGTAAGAAATCTAGCATTCTTGTCCATAAACTTCTAGACAAATTACTAGTTCTGTGCCCGTTTTCGTCAGCATGCCAAGACGTCATGCAGCGCTGTGACCTAGAGGCACATCTGAAAAACAGGTAAGTGGCCAAGTAAGAGGAAAGAGCAGGCATTAGCCTTTATATGGAAGGTGGTTTATGGGATACAGATGCCAAGGCAGTATCTGCACGTGTTAAAAACAAAACTTTAAAAATTGCATTGGAGTATGCTGTTTGATACCTACTGATACAACATGAAGCTGTTGGATTCATGAGCGTTATATTCATGTGATATACATGTTTTGCATAGCGCTTTGGTAGCTTGTTTTAGCAACTGTAAAAGTGTAAACAAGCCCTGGTAGTACAGTAGTTAAACACTTGTGAAAGATGCAGATGCAGTGTAGGAGTGGCCAACTTTATAAAGGGGAACTGTCCCCATTATTAATATCCATAGTATCAAACAAATAGCTACATGGTCAGACATCTACCTTACATGCTCCTGCCCCTATCCTATGAATCTTTATGTCCAATGTTCATTGAAACTTGACTCACAGACTTGACTCCCAGTTGTGGGATTTATTAGGGAAATTGGTTGGGGAGTTGGGGAGGCAAAAAATATCACAAAATACCACAAGTTCAGGTTTAGTTCAGCAGTCCCAAGCCAGATTAACAAGGTACAATTCCTTAGGTAGTGAAAATCTGGGGTTACTTCAGCAGCATAGATGCACCTTTGGTTTCTTCAATCATCCAGCAAACTTAATGTCAGAGCAGTTACAAGTCAGCTTTCCTTCAGTCACCCAGCATGCAAAACCTATATTGTGGCTCCATCTCCAAGGTTCCTCTGTTTACACCTTGCCACAGTCTCTTCTCCCTCTCTCCACCACAATTTTCTACTGTGTGGAAAGCACTTATATTTGTCCCATAGCTGTTGATGGTTTTGCACGACCCTGTGCATGCCATCAATGTAGCTGGAGACCATGCTTCCAACAGGGCCTAATGCAATGGATAGAAAAACCAATTTTCAAGGTTTCTGACACCACAGCACTTGACTATTAGAAGGAAAAGTCAGCTTTGAGCCAGAATTGACATGACAACAAAAGGATTGTTCCACTTAAAATATCTGCAGAATATTGATATTATTTGCCTTACATTAGATGTTTCATCAATGAGATGTTCTTTTCCTTGTTTGTCAGATGGATTAATATCTTTTGGGGCAGGAGGAGGATCAGAGGAGGCTGAGTGAGGCAAGACTACTTTAAAATTAACACTCTAACTCTTGAGAGAAGTTACCTGCATTCCTTACAGGTGTATTTATAGATGCTTGGACATAATAAGAAAAATTTTGGATGATGCCTAGTTCCTTTTCTTCCTAAAAACTGGCACACTAAGTTCTGGTAAAAAAAGTCATTGTTAGGTGCCATGTATTTAGTTACAACCCCATGCGCAGTAGGCATGTGTAAACTCATTATTGCAGCCACTTTGTATCATCAGCTCATTGAAAGTTTTACTCTACTTTGTTGTTGTTGTTAGGTGCTATCAAGTTGACTATGACTCCTAGCAACCCTATGAGCAATGGATCTGAACCCTATCCTGTGCCATCATCATCTCTGATGCACTTGAGTCTTCTGTTAAGTCATTGTGTATATCCCTCTTGGTGAAAATCTTCCTCTCTTTTGCCGACCCTCTCCCTTTCCAAGAATGATTTCTTTTTCAATTAGATTTTAATGAAACTTTATAAAGAACTTTGATTTCTATTCATTCATTGTTACGCATTTTCCTCCCTGTTCCCCTTCTACCCAGTTTGCTTTTTTTCTTTGGAAATAAAAATAAATTCTTTCATTGTTATACAGTGTTTCACCGCCCTGCCCGCCCCTCCCCCACCCCCTTTACTAGGCAAATCTTATTCTGAATTTCCAAGAATAATATCTAAGGACTGGCTCCTAACAACATGATCAAAGTACACAAGGTGAGGTTTCACTATCTTTATCTCGAAGGAGCATTCTGGTTGTTCTTTATTTAAAACAGATTTGTTTGTTCTTTTGGCAACCCATGGTATATTACAGTACTCCAACACCATAACTCAAAGGCATCAGTTTCTCTTCTGTCATCCTTAATCATTGTCCAGTTTTCAAGTGCATAGGAAGTAATTAAAAAGCCATGGTTTGACTCAGATGCACTTTAAAATATTGTTGCTGCTTAGCACCTTGGAGAGGTTCTTGACAGCAGATTTTCCCAATAAACACATCTTTTGATTTCTTAACTGCTGGTACCAAGGGTATTATTGATTATGGATCCAAACAAAGCTAAATCATTGGCAACTTCAGTCTTTTCTGCATCTGTCATGATGTTGCATGTTGGCCAAGTGGTGAGAATTTTTGTTTTCTTGATGTTGATAATCTATACCGTATCACTTTACTAAGCATGATGTCCTTCTCCAGAGCCAGGCCCTCCTAATAATATGTTCAAAGTATGTGAGATCAAGTCTCACCACACTTGTTTCTAAGGAGTCCTCAGCTACACTTCTGAGGCAGAATTGTTTTTCTTGTAGCAGCCCATAGGATAGTCAGTATTCTTTGACAACTTTAAAGGCTTCTATTTTTCTGTCTTCCTTATTCATTTTCCAACTTTCATATGCAGATGAAGCAATTGAAAAACACCATGACTTGAGTCAGTTGCACTATAGTCCTCAGAGTGACGTCTTTGCCAGACCAAACATCTTTTGTGGACCAAACCTGGCTGAAAGCAGGTTGATAAGTAAAACAAAGGAAATGCCCCATGACGCATGCTATCTAAGTAAAGTTAAAGGTTGTGGCGTAACATTACCTTTTAACCACCTTGTGGCTGTGGTTCAGGGTCACATAATCATAAGTGGGCTTCAGCCACCAAGTGCCTAGCTAATTTAAACCCTAGCACCCTCTGTAGACTTTTTTAATAATAAGAGTACCTTCCAGTCCTGGTCCCTCTCCTGCTTATTATCTACCCTTTGATACAATACATTAATGGGTAACCCATCAGAATTTTCTTAGCCTCACTTCCCTCTGTAGCACTACATTGGCTGTCCTCTGACTCTGATTCAGTAAAGCCTGCTAGACTCTTGTACCTGATGCAAACCTAACATCTTGGCCTGCCTTTAATTTGAAAAAAAAAAAATCTCTTGGTTACATTTAAATCTTAGGTCTTTTGCCCCTACTACAATTCTTTCTTTCTCTTTTTTTCCATATATTGTATGAAAACCAGAAATATAGAAGGAGCTCTGGTGGCCTAGTGGCAAGAAGCTACACTGCAATCCCAGAGGCACACAGATGCTCTGCTGGAGAAGGAGGGGCAATTTCCTCCTGTACCAGTCAGATCCGATTTGATGGTGGTTGTTGTTGTTATTAAGTGACATTGAGTCGTAGGCAATTCATAGCGACCCTATAAACGAAAGTCCTCGACACTTGGGTGCGTGACTTTCATCCTTCTCCAAGTTCATAGGGTTTCCGGAGGCAAGCTATTTACAGAAGTGGATGCCACTCCTGCTTCCAAGCTTGTTTCAACTGGGGAGTACCACCAAACGCTATCCACCATGGGTAACCGTTATCACATTTGACACATCAGTGTCACAGTGTTCAGCTTCACAGCGACCACAGGTTACCTCTGTATGGCAAGTGGACACACCAGGGCTATATGACCTAGAAGACTGTTTGAACAAAAACAATGAAAATTCAATTTGACGGTACACACACAAAATGCCAAGAAATATACTTGCAAAAATATCACTATATCTGGTAAGAATATAGTATCCAGGGTGCTATAATTCTTTTGCCACTCAAAAAAGCACAAATAATACAATTTTTAAATAGGCAAAGGATTTGAGTCAGCAATTTGAAGAAGATACTCAGCTGGCAAAAAAAAGAAAAAAATGAAAAGATATGTCCTTAATTATCAGGGAATGCACATACTTTCCCATTGACTGGAAATATACTTACTCATACTTGCTCTCAAATCAGAGCCAACTCATAGTGACCCTCCATTGGGTAAATCCCAGTCTGAGTACTCATTTCTTTCTGCCTTGGAGCCGCTAATAGATTTGGACCTCCAGAGACACAAATTGTAGTTTTCACTGCAAATGTAGCAACCCTATTAGAATAAAACTGTCCATGGGTTTTCCAAGACTATACTTTTCATGGAAGCTTGCTTCCCTAAGGAGCAGATAGCAGATTTGAACCACTAAACTTTTGTTTCAGTCAGTCATGTTAAGATTAGTCAATGTTGATGTACTTCTTTTCTCTTTAGAAGCCCCACTGTACCTAGCTCTTTCTAGCCATTTGCTTTTTCAGGAATTTAACATACCATAAAATTTACTATTTTAAAATAGTTAAGTTTTTTTTAATATATTTACCAAATTGAACTATGATTACCACTTTTTAGTTCTAACATAGGTCAGCATTCCAAATAAACCCTTCTGTACTCATTACCTGTCCCTCCTAATTCTTACTCCCCTGCCCTCTCAAAGCTCTTGGCAGCCACTAATTGCTTTCTCTGTAGATTTCTATAGGTTTACCTCTGCTGGACATTGCATATAAGTAGAAACATATACTTGCATAATTTCAAGGTTTATCCATTTTATTAGCATATGTAAGTGTTCCTTCTGTGACTAAGTAATATTGTATGCTTTTATTTAGTTATCAGTTGACAGACATTTTGTATGTTAATACTTTTTAACCATTATGAATACTGCCACTATGAACATTCATATACAAGTTTTTATTATCTTTGTGTTGCATTGTAAAGATTTCTTATGTGTTCTGGGTACTAGACTCTTCATCAGACATATGATTTGCAGATAATTTTTTTTCTGTGAGTTATCACTTTTTTATAATGTCCTTAGAAGGATAATCAATTTCAGTTTTCACAAAATCGAAATTATCTTTTTCCCCCCCTCCTTTATTTGTTTGTACTTCTGGTGTAATAACAAGAAATTTGCCTAATCCAGTCTCCTTTATAAAGGTTTATACACATTTTTTCCTAAGAGTTGTTTTAATTTTAGGGCTTACATTAAGGTTAGTGATTCAATTTTAGTTAATTTTTATATATGATGTCTTATATTTACTGTCTTATGT